GTGTGTGTGTGTGTGAGTCTCTGTGAGTGTGTGTGTGTGTCTCTGAGTGAGTGAGTGTGTGTGTGTCTGTGAGTGAGTGTATGTGTGTGTGAGTCTCTGTGAGTGAGTGAGTGTGTGTGTGTCTCTGTGAGTGAGTGTGCGTGTGTGTGTGTGAGTGTGAGAGGTCTGCTACCTGACCCGAGCCCGACGGGTCCCGAAATACTTTCGGGTTGGGTTAATGTGTGAAGCGGATCTCCACATACACCTGAGTCGCTCCGCGCCGCGGGATGAAGCGCGTGCGCAGCCAGTGACTCACTGACGTGTCCACGGGGCAGATCTGAAAGGTGCGGACGCTGTTGCCCTCCTCATCCAAACCGCTCATCTCCTCCCACTGAGAAACATCAGCGTCATCAATGAGCATTAAAACAGCTTCTGACCTCACAGCATGGAGTTATCTCCGGTGCTCATCAACATCATGTGAAACACAGAACTTAACGACAGACTGACTCCGTCCTACTGCACATGATTTTAAGATCACCATCTTTCCCCAGAATATAATCACTTGATGTCATCAATATGTAAACAGTGTCTGAGTTTACATGCACATCAGCTCTGCTGGATAATCCAGTTCCAGCCTTCTTCTGATTACAGTGTTTATATGAGACCCTGGAGCACAAAACCAATCATAAGGGTCAATTTTGTGAAATTTAGATTTATACATCAGCTGAAAGCTGAATGAATAATCTTTCCATTAATGTATGGTTTGTTAGGATAGGACAATATTTGGCTGAGATACAACTATTTGAAAATCTGGAATCTGAGGGTGCAAAAAAATCTAAATATTGAGAAAATCATCTTTAAAGTTGTCCAAATGAAGTTCTTAGCAATGCATATTACTAATCAAAAATTAAGTTTTGATATATTTACGGTAGGAAATATACAAAATATCTTCATGGAACATGATTTTTGGCATAAAAGAAAAATGTATAATTTTGACCCATACAATGTATTGTTGGCTATTGCTACAAATATACCCCAGCAGCTTAACACTGCTTTTGTGCTGCAGGGACACATATGTGTGCAGGTATGGGAATATTCCTGAATTTGTGGCTGTTGTGTGTTTTATTTCCTGCTGTTATTTCCCAAGAGATTCCAGATGCTGCCGTTGGTTTAGTGCTCAGTAATTAGTTTAAATACTACTTTACACAGTAATTTAATTAGGACTTGAACACTTTCCACCCTCAAAAATACCCAGCAACACCAAATGGAAAGCAGCAGACAATCATTATAACAAAAACACTAGTTAATGTTAATTTCCTTTAATAATTGTATGAAATAATCAGCATGGTTGTCTCTTTATGATCCTAAACACCTAACCTACAGCTCAGTATCTGTTAGCACCCATAAGGCCCTGCAGTCTGGACAATCACATATGCAACTGATTTCCCATTAAAACAAGCTTATTCCAGGACTGGGAATCTGAACATTGTTTTAAGCTAATTGGATTGTGGTGTTTGCATGGAAGCCCATTTCTGCCTCGGAATAAAAATATAAAATAGAAACTGTGACTTTTTCATCTCACAATTCAGACTTTTCTTCTCACTAATTCTGAGTTTGTGTCACTAATTCTGAGTTCGTATCTCACTAATTCTGAGTTCGTATCTCACTAATTCTGAGTTTATATCTCACTAATTCTGAGTTCGTATCTCACTCATTCTGAGTTCGTATCTCACTAATTCTGAGTTCGTATCTCACTCATTCTGAGTTTATATCTCACTAATTCTGAGTTTTTATCTCACTAATTCTGAGTTTATATCTCACTCAGAAACTCACTAATTCTGAGTTTATATCTCACTCATTCTGAGTTCATATCTCACTAATTCTGAGTTCGTATCTCACTCATTCTGAGTTCGTATCTCACTAATTCTGAGTTCGTATCTCACTAATTCTGAGTTCGTATCTCACTAATTCTGAGTTTATATCTCACTAATTCTGAGTTTATCAGATCAAAAGCTGATCAAACTATTACAAAATACTGATGTGCATATAAACACAGCTAGTGGTGATTCATGAGGATGTTAACCTGGAATGTTCTTTTGACAGTCACGTGAGTTCATGTAGGTGTGTGTGTGTGTGAGTGTGTGTGTGTGTCTCACCTCAGGGTCACTGCTGGGGTAGCTGGTCCATCTGAGATCAGATGTTTCTAGCTTTGTGTTCATCAGCACCTCTGTGACAGAGACAGACAGAGATAGACAGGTTTACAGCAGCTGTAGATCATCATCAGATGAGAAACTCCTGTGCGGTTTAGTTTGGACGACAGTAAAACACTCACAAATATACATACACACATTAACCAGACATCATAATCCTAATCAAAGACATGAGGTGGTCACATGATCAGAGCTTCATAAATCAACTGCGGAAGTAGTTTTGATGTGACAATACAGCGTTCTTTCATAAAATTCAACTTGTAATTACAAGACAAAGACGTGAACAGTTTTCACAAGTCGGAAACTCATAATTATGGTGAATGTGACACGGCGTGAATGCAGCATTACTGAGGCTTTGATTTCAGACATATTTAATGCAATGTAATGTATTTATGATGAGTTTTTGCTCTAAATTACCGCACAGGCGTCTGGTGGAGGAACGCTAATGCTGTGAAAACAGAGCGCTCGCAATCAACGCCCAGTTTAACATCTGAACCTATAAAACCTTCCAGCTCTTTCCATTTCATCGGTCATGATTAAAACGACAGCGAGTTCAGCGACTGCTGCCGCTTTACACAAAGAAGAGGAAGACCGAGGGAGGAGCGGGAAACGTCCCAGCTTTCTGTCTGTCCGTCTCTACTCCATTGTTTCCAGTGAAAACACAATGATACCCAGGAGGCAGTTCAGAGCCAAAAAAAGTGATCGAGTGACATATTCATCACACACACACACACACACACACACACACACACGCACACACACACACCTCTAATCAACTCATCGCTAATTACAGAGTGAGAATGACAGAACGAGAGAACTTGAAGAAGATCCAGCAGTTCACACACACACACACACACACACACACACACACAGAGAGAGAGATACAAATAAATGTGTAAGGAAAAATCAACCAATAAATAAATCAAACCAACTCTCTGCAGTGCTTAGTATAATTTAAATACTATTATTGTTTTTATTAATATTAATAATAGTTTTATCTTTTAATTTTAACATTTTTCAGTTTCAGTTTTTATTTACTTTCATTTTTAATAATTATGTTATGTGCTTTTGCCATTTTTATTAGTTTTTGTTCTTTTTGAATATTATAATTAAGGTTTAATACATTTTATTTAAGTTTTGCTTAAAATTTTTGTTAAGTTTATTTTAATTCTAGTTTAATTTTTAATACTTTTATTATGTGCTTTTGTCATTTTTGTTAGTTTCTGTTCTTTTTCAATTTTATTAAAGGTTTAGTTTTTTTTTTTATTACAGTTTGTTTTTATATTTTCAGTTTTCATTTAACCTCTAATTTATTTTGTATGTGCTTTGTCATTTTTATTCTTTTTAAACATTACTATTTATATGAATTTTTATTACAATTTTAGTTGTTATTTATTTCCAGTTAGTAACTTTTCTGCTTCAACTTAAACTTACTTCTGTTATTTGCCAAGGCAACATTTCTAATTTTATTCAGCTTTTCATCAAATATTTATATTTGTTTCTGTTTTATTTCAATTAGCAAAAATGTTTTCATAGTTTTAGTAAAGCCCGACTCTCTGAGAGGAAGTAAATTTATTGATCACTGATTAATTGATTGCACATCATTCCATCACTCATCATTAATTCAAACATGATTGGCTCTCAGGCTCCTCCCATCTGGCAGCTGATTGGATGAGAGGTAATGGGGCATGTGATTGGCTGAAGATGTGATAATTAGGCTGCGTTCCAGTGGCTCTCGGTTTAATTACGCTAACAAGCTTGACGAGCTCTCCAAAACAAACACTCACGCAGCTACAGGCGTCCATTCACACACACTCACACTCACTCACACAAACACACACACACTCCAAAGCAACCACCACACCATTACCACTGAAACATACATTTACATGTATGCATTTGCAAGGACGTTCATCCAAAGTGTCTAACACTGCATTCAAGGTATTTTATCGGTCATCTTGAGCTACAGAAATACACTCTCACAATAACACAGTATTTCATTCACGGTGTGACTGAGATCTAAAGTGGATCAAAAGCAGATGTGAGGGACAGAGTGAATAACTTTCAATCCACTTTAACTGAATCTGAGTTGAGAAGATTGAGGAAAACCCCCTTAAAGAGAGAAAGAGAGAGGGGTCGGAGGTCACAGCCCATGATAATCCAGCTTTATCTCTCACTGCTGAGAAAAATCTGTTTAACGGGATTCATGGACATCGAGACCACCTCACTCACTCACACACTCACTCACTCACTCACACACACTCACTCACACACACACACTCACTCAT